TGCTTTTCGGGGAAGATTTAATGGGAAAATACAAGAGTTTGGACTCACTGAAATCATTCCTCTGATACGCACCTTAGATACCTAGGGCCAGTATCCTGCTTTTCTCCATCCCAAATTCCCTCAGGGTGCACAATTGGGGGTGGCTGCTGACTTGATGGCCAAAATATCCTTTATTTATTGATATGGCAGGCCATATCTTTCATTCACAAGAGGATCGTGTAGTTTTTTATTCTTCAATTAATGTCGTATATCACACTGATTGATTTGCAGATATTGAAAAATCCATGCATTGTTGGGATAAATCCTGTTTGATCATGTTGCATGATCTTTTTAGTGTATTATTGTATTCAGTTTGCTAGTATTTTGTTGAGGGTTTTTGCATCTATGTTTATCAGTGATATTGGCCGGTAATTTTCTGTTTGTGTGTTACCTTTGTCTGGTTTTGGTATCAGGGTGATGGTGGCTTCACGGAATGACTTTGGGAAATTTCCCTCCTCTTTAATCTTTTGGAAGAGTTTGAAAAGGAGTGGAATAAGTTCTTTGATGTTTATTAGAATTCCTCAGAAGCCGTCAGTTCCTGGATTTTTGTTTGTTGTGAGTTTTTTAAGTTACAGATTCTGTTTTACGTCTAGTGTCCAGTCTGTTGAAATTTTTGTGTTTCTACTTGATTCAGTTTTGGTGTGTTGTATGTTTCTAGAAACTTGTCCATTTTTTCTAGGTTGTCCAGTTTGTTGGTATATAATTGTTGATAGTATTCTCTTAAGGTTTTTTGGTATTTCTGCAATATTAGTTGTTACTTCTCCTGTTTCATTTCTTATTTTATTTGGGTCCTCTCTTTTCTTCTTGGTGAGCCTGGCCAGACGTTTGTTGATTCTGTTTACCCTTTCAAAAAAACCCAGCTCTTGGTTGATTTCCGCGCCGCCGCCCCCCCCCCACCACCACCACCACCGCTGCCGCAATTTTTAAAAAGCCTCTGTTTTCTCTTTGAAAGTGAAAAAGTGAAATTGTTAGTCTCAGTCATGTCTGTCTCTTTGCAACCCCACGGACTGTAGCCCACCAGGCTCCTCTGCCCATGGAATTCTCTAGACAAGAAAACTGGAGTGGGTAGCCATTCCCTTCTCCAGGGGACCTTCCCAGCCCAGGGATTGAACCTGAGTCTTATTGCATTGCAGTCAGATTCTTTACCATCTGAGGGACCGTGGAAGCCCTGTTTCCTTTTCATCTTTAATTATTTACCCTCTTCTTCTGACTTTGGGTTTTGTTTTGTTTTTCTAAATATTTTAGGTGGTAGGTTAACTTGTTTATTTGAGATTTATCTTTTTAAGGAGGCCTATATTGCTATTAACTTCTTACTTAGGACTGCTTTTGCTGCATCCCACAGATTTTGTCTGGCCATGTTTTCATTTTCATTTGCCTTAAGATATTTTAAAATTTTCTCTTTGATCTCATCATTGACACCTTGGTTTTTTTTTAATACCATGTTGCTTAGTCCCCATATAATTGTTTTTTTCTTGTTTCTCTTTCTGTCATTGATTTCTAGTTTCATGCCATTGTGGTCAGAAAAGACCCTTGAAATAATTTTTATCTTCTTAAATTAGTTAAGCCTTGTTCTGTTTCCTAGTATGTGGCCTACCCCAGAGAATGTTCCATGTTCACTTGGAAAGAATGTGTATTCTGATTTTTTGGATGTTATGGCCTATAAGTATCAATTGAGTCTTAACTGTTCTGTTGTGTTATTTAGGATCTGTTGCTGCATTGATTCTGTGTAAGATCTGTCCATTGATATTAAAGTCTCCTATTGTATTTCCATCAATTCTTCCCTATGTCAGTATTTTGTTTTTATTCATTTATGTGCTCCTTTATTGGGTGTGTATATGTTAACTGTAATAGCCTCTTCTTGTATTGATCCTGTTATTATTTTATAGTATCCTTTGTCTTTATGGACTTTGTCTAAAAGTCTGTTTTTTCTTATATGGGTATTGCTACCTCCACTTCCTTGTCATTTCTATTTCCATGAAATATTTTTTCCATCCTCTCAATTTCAAATCTGTGTGTCCTTCACCCTAAAGAGAGTCTCTTGTAGGCAGCATTATGGTAGGTAGCCTCTTCATTTAGTCCAGTCTGCACTCTTTTGATCGTATCATTTAGTACATTTGTATTTAAGGTAGTTGTTGGTAGATATTTGTTGCCATTTCAAACCTTCTTTTCCAGTTGAGAATGTATTTCCCTTTGTTCCTTTCTTTTTGTTTGTCCTGTTGTGCTTTGATAGTTTTTGTTTGTGTTACGTTTGAGTTCTCTTTTTTTTTGGTTTTTGTGAATTTGTTGTTTGCTTTTGTTTTGTAGTTACCCTGTTTTTCAAGGTGTTTTTTAAATAAAATTTCTTATAGCAAAAATTACATATATCAGATTTATTAGTGAAAAAACTAAACAAACAATTTGAACAAGTACCTAAATATTTATGGGTTTAAACATTTTCATACTTAAGAAATGTGAAAATGCTTTCTGCCAGGTTACACACCAAATCCCATATGAGGAAAGAAATGTACTAGGTTACATTGATTGTACCCTTGGCATGAGTTTTAAAGAAAATACTGTGAACACTGCCAGTTTGAAGCAGCCTCAACTTGTTGCCTAGGACAGAGTTAAGGATATAAATATGAGTATTGTTAGTCTTTCTCATTTTTCAAATGGTTTTAACCCATTGTTATATCTCATTGCTTTGGACTGGTAGTTGTAGATTCAAGCACATTCCAATAAGAATCTACATTTTCTAGTTTCCCTCCCCCATATTTTATGATTTTGATGTCTGTCTTCTTTTACGTCTTCCTGTTAAATAAGCCTTTTGCTATTCATGTTAATTATCATTGCTTTCAAAAATTTTTTTTTAGTTTTTGCTTGTCTGAAAAATTCTTTCTCCTTCTAAATGATAATCTTGCTGTGTAGAGTATCCTAGGTTGTGGGATTTTTAGGACTTTGAATTTATGTTGCCACTCCCTCTGTCCTGCAGCATTTCTGTAGAGAAGTCAGCTGATACTTACGAGGTTTTCCTTGTAAGTAACTTTCGCGGCCTTTTTTGACTGTGCTGCACAGCTTGTGGGATTCTAGTTCCCTGACCAGGAATCAAACCCTGGCCCCTGCAGTAGAAGTATGGAATCCTATCCACTGGGCTGCCAGGGAACTCCTACTTGCTGCCTTTAGAATTCTCACTTTAACTCTGGCCATTTTAATTATAATGTCATGGTGTAGGTCTGTTGGGTTCATCTTGTTTGGGACTCTCTTGTGTTTCTTGTACCTGAATATGTTTCCTTTTGGTTTGGGGAGTTCTCAGCTACAATTTCTTCAAATGCATTTTCAGTCCCCTTTTCTGTTTCTTCTGGGATCTCTATTACATGTAGATTGACTCGCTCTGTTTTATCCCATAGATCTCATATATTGCTTTCATTTTTTTTTTTTCCACTTGTTGTTTTGTCTGCTGTTCTGATTGGGTGATTTCCATTATTCTGTCTTCCAGATCATTTGTTTATTCTTCTACATTGTTTAGCTAGCTGTTTATTGGCTTTAGATCAGGTTTTGTCTCAGAAGGTGTTTTCTAATTTTAATTGGTTTCTCTTTATAGTTTCTAGTTATAATGATCTGCATTTTTGTTGATAGCTTTTTTAAACTCCTTTATTATTTTTATCATCTTTTTGAACTCGAGGTCTAGTATACTGGAGAGAGGTTTTTCATTGCACGTCCAGGGGATTTCTCTTGTTTTAATTGGGAGCAATTCCTGGTTTCTTCATTTTACTTATGGTTCATACTTAGTTTTGAAACCAAACAGGAGCTATGTTTGGTTTTTTTTTTTTTGCTATGGTCTTAAAGGGTTGTTTTTATGTGGAAGTATCCCTGTATAGCCCATGAGTCTAATATTTTTGGTGTGAAGGCTGTTTTTAGTATGGATGATTGCTGCATCTTTCCTCGGTGTATGCTTGCTGTCATCACCTTGTTGTAGGGGTTTTGATTGGTGTTCAGGATGTGTACAGGACCTACACTTGTTTAATCTGGCCTCAGGTGATATGAGTTTCTGTGATCCCTGTAATCTGGCCTCAAGTGGTCTCTTGGAGAGCTTCTCTGGTTCCTTTAATCTGGAATGAGTTTGTGGGGTTTAGTTCTGTAAAGAACTCAGAGATTCTGTTATTTGTATTTCTTGAGATAGAACTGAGACCCTGCACAAAGGCTACACTGTTTCTTGACTGCTCTTCACTCTGAATCCCCTCCCTTCTCTGTTTAGCATCTATTTGAATCTGCCCTTTGGAACTCAAGGAAGGTCACGGAGGCTGGAGTCTCTTTCCTACAAGCAGGAAATTAGGGACACAGAAAGGTTTCTGTGCCCAGGAGCCCCACAAGCTCCTGTTTGGTTTCAAAACTAAGTATGAACCATAAAGAATGGATTGGAACTGATAAATTGAGACTAATTATGTAAGCTAATGAGTTGGGAACTTTGAGTTAGATTTATCTTTATGTTGTATAGAACTAAATTGTTTTAAATTCTGTGCTTTTTCGTAGTTTGAAAGAGTGTTTTTGGTAGTCAGAAGTAACGAGCTAGCTGTTTATGGTCTGTTGCTAAGTAGTGATGATTCTTATTTTTTATATTTTAGATTTCTATCATTTTGTTCATTATCTTTATTTAGCTAAATAATCTGATTTGCTTTTTCTCCGTGATATATGCCTGAGACATAAACAACTCTTAATTGGCATTTTAGAAAAGAAAATGTTTAAATTGATCCAATTTTCTAGTTATCTGTCTATCTTGTTTAAAATCTACATACTTTCTGTCCCCATCGTCTGCTTGGTTTATTGTAATGACACTGCCTTCAGACAGAACTATAATTTACTTACTGATTTTGTTTCCCCTCCCCACCCCTATCCATGCAGGAATGTAAGTTCAGCATCAGGCACATAGGCAATAATTATGTTAAATCTGTGGTTTCAAATTCTAATACGTTTCCTTCTTCCCACAGAAAGAACATACTGGTCGTCTTGTTATAGGAGATCACAAATCCACATCTCACTTCCGCACAGGTAAGAAGGTAAAATATAATTAAAGTGGAGGTGCTAAATTTGGAATGTGAAATACTTGTATATAAATTGTAGTGAGGTTTTATGCCTCATCTTGCCAATTGTAGTTTCTAGAGTTTATATTTTGTATACTATTTACTGTACAGTGTTATAGTTGGCATATTATACTGGTTTTTAGTTTATTCACTAAGTTTTGCTGTGAGATCTTTGAAGAGCATAAACTCATTGAAAGACCTGAAGAAATGAATTTTTCTTTTAATTTTGGGGGGGGGGTTTGAATTAAAAACTGAAAATGAATTAGAATTTGGATTTGAATTCGGTGTGCTGAAAATTTTTCTCCCATTTAATATTGACCCTGATCTTGGACATTATTAACAATAGGGCACAATACCCATATACATTTAAGAAAAGCTTGACTTACATCATTTAAATTAACTTTATACTGACCTAGATTATGTAGCATATTTTAGAAATTAATAGGCATTTTATTTTTCTGGTGTTGAACAGTTACTTCAAATTAATCTGCATTGCTACAAAAGGCTAAAGAGTCTGAACTTTAGCAGAATGGAAATGTATTTAACTGTTGCACTTATTCTTTTAAAATATGAAGTTATTTTCTTGTATTTACAAACTAAAATGCCATGTACAGAAAGCTCCAATGGTATTGGTAATATTTTAGTCCTTGGGTGGTAAGTTTATAGATGGTTGTTTAATATTCTGCTTCATAACTTACAACAGAGTATATGTTAAAAGTATATGTATATGTCAAATGTCACATGATATATTGGTTCAGTAAATTGATATGCAAAGAAAGGCATAAGGAGAGCCAATTCCAAGGTCATTTTATTTAGCCATTTTCTGAACAGAATTATGTGCCTTTTCATTATTTGTGTTCAAAGACAGAAGCTGTTGTTTGTTGGAGGTGTTTTTCTATGACTAGGAGGAAACTTTCACTTTCAGAAGAACCATTATTAGACCATGTTAACTAAAACATGACACCCAAAGTCCTTAGTAATTAATATTTACAGTATCTAAACTTTAGGCAATTCTGAGAATTCCTTATCTGGTTTGAATTATTACATGGAAAATTTTTTCATCTTTAATAAAACAGCTTCTAGTTCGAGTAGTTACTATTTTGTCTGTTGGGTAACTATGTATGGCATATCAACCCATTCACAAAATTCACTGTAAGATTACTCAGTTAGAGAAATCAGCCCTAAATATAATAGCATCTGTATTATGGGTTTTTTGTGTAATCAAATATTTTTATTAATTTGACTGAAACATAATCAAAGTACACTGGACATACAGGGGAAGAAGACAAGAAAATTAATGAAGAACTGGAGTCTCAATATCAACAAAGTATGGACAGCAAATTATCAGGAAGATATCGACGACATTGTGGACTTGGCTTCAGTGAGGTAGTAATTAACATATTTTCATTAAGTGGAAAGATAATTCCACTTGATATCACTTATTTCTGTTAAATTACTCTAGCAACCAAGAATCCTATGTAGAAACCTCTCTTTATATAGTTACTTAAAATATTTTTATATGCCAAACTAGGTCTTTGTAGATAATGAGAAGAGATATTGAGAGTTTTTGAAATATGTTTTTTGATACTAGCTTAATGTACATTCTGCTTAGAGAATCATTAGGGCACATTTTAAGTAGGCATAAACAATGTACTCACAAGTTAGATAAAATATTTCATGTAAATACTCATTAGGAGAGTTTTCTCAGTTGTTTCCTATGTCACTTCGTTCCATATAACTACTGGCTCATTACTCCAAAATAATGTAATATGCAAAACATTGGTAACTGTTTTCAGCATTCCCCTGAATCAGTGGTTAACTTGCCTTGTTCTTAAAAAAAAAGTATTGTTTCCATCAGGAAGACAATGTTAATTTCAAACTAGGGAGGGAAGGAAAGGTGGTGGTCTTCAGAGCCCTTTCTTAAGCAAAAATCCTACTCAAGTACCAGTTTATAAAACAGCTAGAGATGCCTGAGCCCTCAGTTCTTCCCTAGGCAGCCTCTGTTCTTAAACTGTTAATATAATGGCTAGGGAGTGAGACAAAAATGAGGGTCTTTTCCAGTTTTTGTACTGGATTATTTTAATAGGCTGTTGGTTGATGTTTTTAGGTAGATGATCATGATGGAGAAGGTGATGTGGCTGGAGATGACGATGATGATGATTCACCTGATCCTGAAAGTCCAGATGACTCTGAAAGTGATTCAGAGTCAGAGAAAGAAGAATCTACTGAAGAGCTCCAAGCTACTGAGCACCCTGATGAAGTGGAGGATTCCAAAAACAAAAAAGATGCAAAAAGCAACTATAAGATGATGTTTGTTAAATCCAGTGGCTCATAACTCCCAAACACTTAGTCTTTGTATTAAAAGTAAGCCTTATTGTTATAATGCACAGTGGAGGACTGCTTCTAGAGCACAGACCTTTGTATTATAATTTTTAAAAAGGCCCTTTTAAATAATTACAAGGAGTGTTTGCTTTCAGATGCCATGGGTTACACTTTTATGGGCATGACTATAACCATTTTTGTAAAGAGTAAGAGTTGTATAAAATAAGAAATAAATACAATACTCAACTTCTTTTCATGTTAGCATCATCAAAAATCTCTGATATCACCTTTTTAACCCCTTCAGATATAGTTATGGGGGAAACAGTATTTTTTGTGTGGTAGCTGTTTATGTTTCTTCATGTTTTTCTCTTATAAAAGTTTTATCTGGTACTGTGATGTGTTCATGGGAAATATTCTTTTATTATACTTTCTCATAGTAGAACTATTCATCATGGATATTTCTGCTGCCAATAACAGTCTAAATTAATGCTGGCAAAAGATTAGGAACTTAGTTTACTCTTACTGATTCAGCTCTAGTCTTTCGGACCAAAGCAACATGAGAGCAAATACTTTTCACACCTGTTAGGTTGGGGTTGCAGTTGTCATATATTTGGAATGTTATGATCCCAAGCAGTCTTTATATAATTTGAATGATATTGTATGTTAGATTTTTTTTTTAATATAAAATTGGCCAACTTTTACAGAAGAAACTTTTTTCTCTGATCATTTGGTCCTGTCTATTTAGGAATATGTAAAATGGAACTTTTTTTTTTAAGGTAATATGTGACCAAAGTTAATTTCCTTCCTAGTGCTTAAATAAAGAGAAAACAGTTTCCCATATTTGGTTGTAATACCTTTATCCTCATTATCTAAAAATGAGGAACAGGCTTATTGAACAAGAATCTGAAGCAAATTCTCTTCATTTTACCCCAGTGCTGTTATCCTGATTATCTTACAGAAAGGAGTATTGCTTTGATTTTATCACTACTTCTGTTGGAGTAAGATTAGTATCTGACTACTATTATGTGGTTAATTTGTACAGCAGGTGACACAAACTGCATTATGGGCTAGTCAATGATGTTTGAGTAATTGGGTTCACAATCTTAATGTTTCTAAGTGATGTGTTCAAAGGCTTGAGTTAAACCTGTTTGCTGAACCGTTAGACGTCTAGATGCTTAAGTATGTGTTTAGTGTGTTGGATTTTTTTTTTTTTTTAGTTCCTGTGTCATTTTGAAATATAGAATATGTTCAAGGAGTATAGCAACTAGAACAGGTGATTTCTGGATTATGCAGTCCATCCTGAAATGTTTTTTGTATTTCACACCCCCAACATTTTTTTTCTTATTTCTCACATTGTTATATAATAGGTGTTACCCTATATAGTAAAATACTGAGTCAGTGGGTAGTAAACAGAATGTACAACATTTAACAAATAGCATTTGGTTTAAACAAGTTTGGGTTTGTTCAGATTTCAGTTTGGCCATTGATTTTCAAATATCTAGCCTGTAGGGTTGCTTATTACAACTAATTTAAGAAGTGAAAACTGATTTATGTTTAACAGTGTTATATTTTAAAAAGTACTTTTCATCAATTTATTTAAATATGCTGGGTTATTAATAAGCCTCGGTTCTTATATAAATAGAAGAGCCTTGTTCTAAAATAACTACACTGGAGGACCTTTTTTCTTCATCTTCAAGTAGAGAAATTCTTACTCCAGTTCATTTATTATTGGACATTTAACAAAATTCAGGGTCAGAATAAATTTAGGTCTGTTGGACCATATGGCCCAGTGGCCCAGCACCACATTAAATATCATGGCTGTCTTTTAAGCATGAACATTGGGTTTTTGTTTTTCTTTATTAAATTGTGGGGGAAGGGGATTAAAGGAAGACAGATACTATGCCATTTTGATATCCCTACTAAAGTACCACGAGGGAAAATACAATTTGCTTTTGTGCAATGAAACATGCTATTGAGGTGAAAGTTGAATGGCAACTTTTTCCTACTATTGATACTTTCTTACCTGAAATATACTTCTCCCAGGTGTTGATTATACTGATGTTCCAGTGATCTTTCTATTGTAAAGGTTTTCAGGAACACAGATTCCTGTGTGTATTAATAGGTAAAAGTCTTCTCATATCTGTAATTTTTTTAAACCTGGAAGAATTCAAGGTATAGAAAAAAGCCTGACGTGATTGTTGTTTTGATTAAACAATGGTTTGAGAGCAGAAAGGTGGGTCATATTTTTTTGAGTAAATTTTGAGGTAGTAAATTTCCGCTGCCTGGTTGGCATCAATGAACACGCAGGGCTGTGGTTCCATTGCTTTGTCTCTGCACTAACCACATCTGGGATACTTTCAGTATCCAAAAACAACTTTACCTCTGAAATCACAAATGTAGAAATCTTATCTCTGACCGTAACTGCTCTATTCCTTTATGTATGTTCAAATCAGATCATTTCACTGTTGTCACCTGTTTCATAAGCCCTGTCTAGATTTTTTGTGTGATCCATTCAGTGTCCCTGTTGTCAGTAACCCAAATGACCTTCCCTAAATGTCATAACATTCCTAGAAATACAGCCCTGGATTATCCAGTTTCCTATGGATTATTTCTGGAGAAAGACCACCAACTGAACAAACCAGTATTTCTAAATGTTGATTAACAACACTGCTTGTTATCCTTACTGTTTTCTCTTGTCAACCCTTCTCCCGGTCTTAACTGTTGAAAACCCCTATTTTCAAACCTGCGACCCTCTCTTTCCTCCTTCACTCTTATGACATGTCCTTACATTCTATCTTACATTAAAGAATAGGTTTTATCAGGCAGAAGTTCCCCGAACTTCGATCTAATTTGACAACCATGGAGAAGTGCTCCACTCTTTTAGGTCACATCCCAGCTCTACCAAGTTAGTGATAAACTCAGAGACCTTGGGCATAACTAGATCTGAGTCTCCCTTCCTCCCTTTCATCAGTAAAATGAGATTATCAATAGCAACCACTTGCATGGTTATTATGAGAATTAGTTAAAACAGGTAAAATGCTTTGTTGTTCAGTTGCCAAGTCATGTGTGACTTTTGCAGCCCCATGGACTGTAGCCAGCCAGGCTCCCTCTGTCCATGGGATTTCCTAAGCAAGGATACTATAGTGGGTTGCCATTTCCTTTTCTGGGGGAACTTCCCAACCCAGGGATCAAACCCATTTCTCTTGCATTGGTAGGCAGATTCTTGACCACTGAGCCACCAGGGAAGCCCACATTTTTGATAGTTTTAATAACTTACTGCTGTTACTGTTTGCTTCACTACTATTCCCTTCCCCCCAATCCACTCCAGCTTTCTACCCAACTTTATTTAACACCACAACTGCATTGAAAACTGCTTTGATCAAATCAATGATTCTTTTCCTAAACATTTTTTGGCCACTTGATGCAAAGAACTGACTCATTGGAAAAGATCTCCTGATGGTGGGAAAGACTGAAGGCAAAAGGAGAAGGGGGCAGCAGATGATGAGATGATTAGATAACATCATTGACTCGGTGGACATGAATTTGAGCAAATCCCGGAAGATGGTGGAGGACAGGGGAGCCTGGTGTACTGCAGTCAAGTTTGCAAAGAGTCAGACAACTGAACAACATAATGATGTTCCCGAAATCTATTAACTGACTCCATGTGAGCAAGGTTTCTCAATGCTTTCATCTGTAAAAATAGTTTTCTCCTTTAGAAACTCCAATTACATGTGCATATTTCATTTCCTATTCCCATGTCATTTTTATTTTTATCCCTGTTTTCTCCTTATTGTGATTTGAGCACTGTGTACTCTTACCATCCAATTTTACATTCATTTTTATGATTATATACTTTTTTCCTTGAATTCTGCCAGTTCATGTTTCTTCTGTTTCCTCATATCCTCTTGTATTTACGATGTGTCAGTTTATAGAGATCATAACATATTAAGGTTGTCATGAAATCTTTGATCATAGTTTTCAACTGTTTCTTGGAATGTTTTTCTGGTCAGTGTTCTTCACATGTCATTTATTTTTCTTGATGCTTTTTTCTCTATTTTACTATCCTCATGCAAAGCCTGTGCCAATTCTTTTTCATTGTTTAGGTATCTGCAAATATTTACTCAGCACCTACTCTGTGCCAGGTACTATTCTAGCTCCTGAGAGGACAGCAGTGATATATATGTGTTGTCTCCCCTTCACCAGAATGTACCCTTCATTAGAGCAGGGAGGCCTGGTGTGCTGTGATTCATGGGGTCGCAAAGAGTCGGACACGACTGAGCGACAGAACTGAACTGAACTTAAATGACTCTTCAGAAGGTCCCAGTGAGACTGAGCCCAAGTTTTTCACAACAGTGACCAACTTGAGAAGGTGCGTGCTTCTGTTGCTTTCCCTTCTTTGCCACTTCTATTCCTTGGATATGCTTAGTTGCTCAGTCGTGTCTGACTTTTGTGACCCCATGGACTGCAGCCTACCAGGCTCCTTTGTCAATGGGTATTCTCCAGGCAAGAGTACTGGAGTGGGTTGCCATGTCCTCCTCCAGGGGATCTTCCCAACACAGGTCTCCTGCATTGCAGGCAGATTCTTTACCAGCTGAGCCACCAGGGAAGCCCTCTGTTCCTTGGATCATTTCCCAAATTAACTCTGCTTACAAGCCCTTCCCTCAGACTGTGCTAAGGGTAGTCAAGATTAAGACAGGCTTACATCTAGAACCTCTACAAATCAACAAGAAAAAGATACATAAACCAATGGAATAATGATAGAGTCCTGAAGATACTTCACGAATAAAGAAATCTGAAAGGTCAACGAACATTTGAAAGGATGCACACTATCAATAACCAGGAAGATGCTAGTAAACCTAATTCATACACATTAAAAATAGTTACAATTTTTAAAAAAGTTTTGTTGAGTATATTATCTATTGCCATATAACAAATTACCCCAAAACTTAACAACTTAAAACAATAAACATTTATCTCACAGTTTCTATGAGTCAAGAATCTGGGCTCTGCTGG